AAATTCTCTGTTCTCTTGAATCTCTATCATTTGAACGGTCCTCTATTCATTCGTTACCATACTACTGAATTGCTTTCTTTAACCTATTTAAATACACGCGTAGCAATCGATCTTATGAAAGGAGTAAGTCTACTTAAGCGTACCGTCGTGAATCCTGTGAAAAATATATATAAACAATGTATACCCCAAATCTACTAAATATAATCCTAATAATCTATTTCTGCAAGGGCAGGTACGTGCCACTTCTTAATAATCTACCAGAAGGTTAACTTTTATGATGGAATAGAACAAGTAGATAAAAAAGGAAAGCTTTCGTGTCCAAAACAGGACTCATCAGTTTGGTGTTGGAAGTTACTCCTCGTTCTCTATTTGAAAACAGTCAAATTGATAGTTGTAGTAGGTTTTTATTAGGATCGTTGAAGAGAACAGTTGAAACTCGAGGAAAAGATATTAAACACACCATTCAATATTCTAGTATTCGAACTTTTCTCAGGAGAGTAACTTGAAAATGATTTTTTTGACAATGATTCGAAGCTCTAAAGTAGAACTCATAGTAAAGGAACAGTTTGGAACATCAAGAATATCAGACTGGTCTTTGAAGTTGTAAAGAAAACCAGGACTTTAGTTTCAACTCTAAAAATTCTAAAATCCTTCATCTGCTGCTTGATGCAAGTCATGCATGCATTTAGAACAATTATCCTTTAGAAATGTCGTCAGTAGAAAAAGGTGTGGATTTATTGGTTCATTATGATTTAAAACCACACTTTGTGACAATACTGCTTTTTAACTCGCTCTTGCACCATTCAAACTAAAAGCATCTCTGACCGGTCTATAAACAAATTTTACGTAAAATTTCTGAGTTTTCTGGTAGCTCTATTCAGGTTTGTCTACAGTATAGTAAGTGTTTCTTACTTCCTACCCGAAACGTGGGATAACACCGATACGTACACACAGGCAAGCAATGCTGAGATGAACTTTTTCCAACCTTCATGAAATGTAGGTGATAAAAGGTATAGGTCTCTCACCATGCATAGATTGACCTTACTGGAAGCTATCTGGGACAAAACCAGGAACAGTTTCCAACATCTAGATATGAGAACGAAAATCAATTAGTCTATAATATCTCATCAAACAATATCAATGTACTCAAAAATAAAGGTTACTAATTTTTACATTTCTGACTGACAAAGTTGGTTTATCATTGTGGATGGACGTCAGTGGAGAGAAAGCGAGTCGTCTACACCAAAACTTCGACGAACCTTGGGTCCGAACAAGTTAGCTCAGTGAGCAGGCATCCACATGATATCCGGCCTCATCACATTAGGTATGTTTTGTACATGGGAATCGATCTCAAGCATCTTACCAATGATATACTCGTTAGACGGTTTCAAGCAAATGTTAGACGACAATGTGAAAACATAAGTTTGGACATTAAGTGACCCCGTAGGTAAGCGTTAGAATATTCTTTCTGGTTCTTCAATATTCCACATGTATTCATGCGATAAGTAAAAATAATCGGATTAATATCGTAATTAAACATTCCCGAAACTGTGCGATTTGAGTCAGGTAGGACTAGATGAACACAAATGAACGTATTATATTTGTGATTCATGATGAACCAGCAATCAAGTACAAAGTAATCATCCGTCAGTACAAATACTACAACCGCCACAGCTTAAATGGACTTCCCAATGACCAAAATATGTTGTGCGTCTTCTCCTGAGGTCAATCATATATCTGTTGGGCTGTGCATTTTTGTGTGACCTAGAATGTACAGTATGAGAACTAACAACGGGAATCGAGAAGAACTTACTTAGGTGATCATAACGTGTTCGGTTGTTCTGACTGGCTTGTATACGAAACATAAATTGATCAACCTTTTCAGTAGACCTCTCGAAGATTGTGGAGATCAGTTCTTCGATAATGTGTAACATCGGCAGATTGTAAGCATTCTCTAAATGCACGAAGATTTTTTCTTTGAGCAATCTCACCACTGTTATTCGTCACTGGAAAACTTTATCTACTCTACTTTCTGCGTCTTTAAATTTTACATCAGTAATAGAAATGATGTTTAGTTCCAGGGTATTGTCGTTTTTGCTTGCTCATCTGAATGAGAGGGCTCTGGAGTCATGCGCAGTTTTAACACTTGGATTCAATAGCCAGCAAGTTATCAAGCACTCAATTAAAACCATTTCCAGTGGTCAATAAGGGAAGCTATACTTGAAGCATTCTTAAATTTACTATACCCAGGATAGATGATGAGGGACTCCCAATTAAAGGGTGAAACATTTTCGTCTCTAATCAGCAAAGTACAAAACACAAGAATGGAAAGTTAGTAACCAGTGATACTAAAAATGAAACTTCGATAGGCATAATTAGTGACTTCAACTTCCCAAGCGAAATGATGGACTTAATACTGTCAGTTTCAACAATAAAATAGTAAAGAGCACCACTGGATAAATATAATCGTTTTCGAATACGAAGTTGAAAATAAAAATAATATATAGTCATTAGAATCACCCAAGTTAATAAGAGCTGTATTACAAAGTTTAGCATTACTTGAAGCGAAATACACAGTAGTTTTACAAACCGACTTGATGTGTCCGATATCACAACACATTAAGCATTTAGCATGATGAAATACACATGAATTACGTGTGTGAAATTTACCACAGGACAAATATTCACCAAGCTTGTGCTCACCCTTGTCACCTGCTTTAAAAATCCTCAGTGAAATGTCAACCATATTTCCGCGAGAACGAGTGTTATGGGCAATTAAACGCCTATCTGTATGGCCTTGAGTACACGTCGAATTCGGATAACTAAGCACTGTATTAGAATTCTTGATGTCCTAGAAGTCAATTCCATGCACTGCCTCATAATTAATACACGCAGTTCTAGCATCTTGAAAAGAACACTTCGACATTTGTATGAACGCTTTTTCCAGATGTGATATGTTAATCTGTGAAATCAATTGATCACGCAGCTGATATATCCATTTTGTGGTTGCGTAACAGATATTTTTATCCATTTTGAGCTCTTCAGTAACGAAATATTACCAGTTTTTACATAATTAGTCACAAAAGACAACGTATCTAGCACTGCACTCTTAGTTCCACTCAAAGCATGTTGATTAGTTTTATGGGACCGGTTTGCACACATATCAATTATTCTACGGATCACATCAAAGTAATTTAGCTGAACTATGAATTTCGTCAATTATTTTACTACTATTTAATTTGTGATTAATACTTTCACAAGCGAAAATGTATTTACTACGGTTTGATATCATCCTTGTCATCATTAACACTTTTCCTAGTCATACTCCAGATTTCAAACCTTTCCATGTCATTTTTGAAAACATCAGAATTTGAATAAATATCCAACTGTTCAAACACAGGCTATATTGCGACGCCCATGTGATAATTAGAAGTATTCGGATCATTGCGCTATATAAGAATTCCCGAAATAGTGCAATACAGGGCAAGTAGAATTTTAAGAGCACAAACGAACGTATTATACTTATAGTTCATGACGAGAGCGCAATCAAATACAAAGGAATCATCAGTTAGTACAAATACCACAATCCATCTTCTTTATTGTTCAAATTTCATTTCATCGTTTTAGTGCATTGGATTACTTAATATCTCTTTCACTTCTTATCCTCCATGGAGTATGAACTGTATTTTCCAGTACAGTTAATGTCGTTCTGATATGTTAAATCGTGACAAAAACTGGTCACAACAAACAGGGGGATAAAAAAGTAAGGAATAAAAGAACAAAACTCTAACTCCAAAAGGATAAGGACACTCTGGAGCGTATCCAACGGCAAGCCAGGAAATCAGTTCAGGGACTAAAATTCGGACCTTATGAAGAGCGCCTCCAATCACTTAACCTTTACCCATTAGAGTATAGGCCTCTTAGAGGTGACCTTCTGATGGCTTACAGTATCTTTAATACTTCTTGACATCCCCCTAAACATCTAATTAAGCTTAGTCCCAATGCAAACCTAAGGAGTAACACCCAGAAATTGGAGATACAACACAACAGAATGGACTGCAGACACCACTTATATTCACCAAGAATTGTAAAATGCTGGAATTCGCTGCCGACTGAACTAGTCCAAGCGACTTCCCAGGGATATTTGTAGGGATCCGAAGATTTTCATCATTTTAATTGTTCGTTGAACACTTTCATCAGTAAGAAAGGATTAATCCAGAGTCCAGTTTTATAAAAGGATGTGTAATACAATGGATCACCGATTTATTTTTGTTCTAAAAGGGGAAATCTGCACATGTGTTTACAAGAGTAAAGATGCCACAAGTTTTGGGAGTCTGACAACACCTTAACCAGTAATACTTAATCCAGTTAAATCGGAAGTCAGCAGTGAAGACGTTTCATAATATGTTTAGAAAGCTATCAGTATGTCAAAGGAACGTTTGGTCTAAGCTGGCTAGTAGTTTAACGGAATAAGTAGCACGGTATATCCACTTGTGATCTGGTGGTGATGCGTGATCAAGCGCCTTCAGCTAGGCGAATCCAGTAAAAGTAATGAGGTCAGCACCAAATGTCGGGAACTTTCAGAGCTACTGATTTTGGGGACTTATTTACCGCTACAAGAACCTAGTAGTCCGATGGATTTTTCCTTTTTTTCACTACTTATTATTGTCCTCCTCCTCTATAATTTATCTCTAGAAATGTTTAGTTTAAGGTTCAAGGCTTAGAATCCAAACTCTGCCGAAAACTTAGTAATTATCCATCACTTTCCGAATTTCTCATCTATCATTCCCAAAAGTTGGTCTGAGACGTCATTTGGGCTACTGAAGTCGAGCAGCTAGCAAAATTGATTGAACCCAGAGAAAGGAGTTAGAACTACCACCTGACACCAAGATTCAAGCTGTTAAAATGGTTCATCTCAAAGATATTGGACAATATACTTGTTATGATGAGTGATTCAGGAGGGGCGGGTTTTCATTTACAGTTTTACGTCATCTAGGAAGATGGGTGATAAGAGGTTTAAGGTCATAATCAAATCACCTAGTGACAAAATACCTAGTTTGACTGTGCAATGCCTTTCTCACTGGCTGGCCAGTGACTTGAAAAATTACTTATCAGAGCATCATCTCGCCCACCCTAGTGTATCATCTCAAAGACTTATCCATGCTGGTAAGCTTTTAAAAGATGATACATCAATCTCAGACATTTGTAGTCAGGTAAGGTATCTTTTCTGATCATTTTCAGGTCGATGGGCTTCCTACAATCCATCTAGTATACCCCAACCCAAGACCAATGGGCGATTCTAATGTCAACAACCAACGGGGTGACAATACTCTGTTGTAAGTTTTACACACCGAATTATCTTGCAGCTCTTTGTAACATCTTTTCTCCAGTATGACCTTTATAGCAGCAAATGGCTAGACTGTGGTCACGTCGCTAACGTCAATCAGCAACTCAAATCCTGGAGTACACATCCATTCGTCAGTTACTACATCACGTCAGTACAACTAGGTTAAGTTAGGAAATGGACATGAAAAGATTCAGAATAAAAATGTCAATGACATTTATAAGAAATAAGCGTTGGAAATATGGCTTGCGAAAAGCTATATATATAAACCAGTTGCTGCAACTGATTCGTAGCCAACTCACTCAACGTTACTAACTGCTGAGCATTGCTGTATAAAAGATTTCGTGATACTTGTTCATGAATTCGACCCAAGTGTACAACATCTATCCCAGTTTGTAAGGTGTTTATACATTCGTATGGGGTTATCTTACATGTACACCATCTTAGTTATGTTAGACCACGAAAACACTTATTAAGAACAGAAATTGATCATTCACACAACTTTACATCTTAGGGAGAGATGCTCAAACGAAACTGGGATTATCAGAATCCCGTTGAAGGATCAGCTAGCTACTGCATTACTATTCGGAGTTGTTCCTAGGTCGTGAATCACTACTAACCCTAGTTCTTTTCATTCCTGGACTCATGGGAGTAGTGTATCAATGATCTTATTGGCGGCCATTGCCGAGTCCAATGTGAATTGAGGAATCTTTCAGGAATTGATCTTCGGACATCAAATTTGGGGTCGTCTTACTAATTCACCAAAGCCAGCTTGAAGACCAAAATTATCAGCCTTATTATTCTTCGGAATTCGAGGTCACCGAACCCCAGTGTCGACGACTATAACTGTCTTGGTAGTTCATGGACGTAGAAAATGCTTTTTATTGTACCTACGTTGTAGTTGATTGCTATCTCAAGACTAGGGAGATTGCATAAGCACTAAGTGAGACATCTTACCAAACGCCATGCTGAATTCTACGACTATCACATTAACAGGCAAGCCACTACCCTGGTCTGCTGTTCGGTCCTTTCACAGTTAAAAATGGATGCCCATTCCGAAACCTGTGTTATCTAAGAGCTGAAAAGTTGGAGTGTGAGGGCTTGATTCTTCAGTTTTAAAATTTTACTTTCAATATATGGATTTTGTTGCGTGGAATTCTAGTAGTATATACCCTCCATCCAGGTTCCTGAGTTTATGTTTCTTGATTTTCTCTCTGACGATTTGCTTGTGTTCACCGACACATGTAGCTGTTATATATATATATATATATATATATATATATAATTGCCTTGGTACGGCCGAGAATGGGGAGAGTCTACTCTTTCTCTCTCAATGCTCTCACATGGTCACGCTTATATAGCCTCTGTCAGGGAAGTCCTACTCATTGCCTTCTCGTGGAGGTGTTGTTCACGAGATTAATAAGACGAGAAGTGAATGTCCGACGCCTTAACATGGAGAGTCCACCTACGGGAGTTGGAAATTCCAAACCAGTGGTGTACATGGACTTCAGTATCCTGAGGGAACAAATGGCGTATGAACCAATTATTGGTCACCGGCTACCATGGGACTGCATCTCCTTACGTTGCTCCACTGCCTTGTGGATCAGATCTTTAGGCCAAAGGCTCCGGTTTGGGCACCCGGGCAGTATCACAGCTCTCACACAAATCAAATGAGATTTGTGTGGCGCATATGTATCTGATGCCCCTTTGTACCAATATCTATGTGTTCAAATAAATAAATAAAAATACTAGACTATAGTCACTGAAGTGTCCACTTGTTCTTCGTTTTCGTCTAATCAATTTAGTATTATTATCCCGTTTTTGTAAAATTTCCCACAAAAAATTTATGGACCGAATCCGACATGCGCCGCGCGATTCTAGGTTTTTGTTTCATTTTTCACCACAGACTCGTATTCAGCTCCAATTTGTAAGGTATTATATACCAGATCTCAAGTAAACGTCCGTCTCAACTTCCCTATACTTTTGTATCATAATCTAATCGTTATTTTCCGGAATTTTTCTTACAGTGATATTTCACCCGAGCAAATGCATAAATATCAGCAAGCGTATTATCATTATCTACAAACTTTTTATATGGAGAATCCTCCAGTAAATCGGACTGAGTACCGCACACAGGATTACCGTTGCCCTATCGATTTTGGATCAGGTATGGATCTTATCCCCATATGTTTCTTAACGTACGAGTTTTTTGTGTTGTTATAATGAGATTGACGAGACATTTCAATTAAGATTAAATTGTCATGATTTTATGATAGTAATGATAAACACCTCTAGGATTAAGATCAATGATGAATGTATCATTTTGTGGAGTATGTTTCTATTTTTCACTTACATACAAAGATTTTGACCAGATAAGCTTATGAGTACGTCGGTTTATACTTTATGAGGACTTTTTGCAATAATCATGAATGGCATTCTCATATCGTTAACAAGCAGTTCCGTATATCTACACATTTTATTTAATTTCGAAAGTTATATCTCGCTTTAAGTAAATTTTTTTGAAAGATGTATTTTTGCTTTATTGAATGCAAAAGGATCTCACTAAATGTACAACTAGTTAATGTAACGTTTGCTGGTGAGTTACTGTCACAGTGTTGCGACTATCAGTTCTAATATAGTACACTGTTAATTGTTTTTAACAGGGACTGTGATACAAATGCTTCCCGGAAACTATAGTTTCCCTAACAATGCTTATGTACCACAAACTCATAGCTCTTCACACCAAGCAATCCCAAACAGTTCATCTAGCAACACGCAACAATGGATTCAAAGGGCACAGGCACTTTTATCCGGTTGGGGAGTGTTTAATGGTAATCGTCGTCAGAGGGAAGCGGGTGAGGTATTACCGAATGAAGATGGAGTTAACCAAAGAGCTGACCAAATCCAACCCCAAGCAGCACAAGAAGTGTTTAATAATGCAATACGAAATAATGATCGACCCGATGAAGACGTTAACGGGGTGGGAAATATGGACATAATTGATCGTTTTTACTTGCTTTTTCGACTTTGTCTTTTCGTGGGACTTTGTTTCGCATATTCATCTTTGGACAAGGCACTTATTGTATTCTCAGTTGCTGCTTATGTATACCTGTAAGTTCCCAACTATTATTTTTCTAATACTAATGCGTTTCATACAATCTTTAGGTTAACCACTTGGCGACCTATAGTAACTGTTAGATTCATTTTGTGGATGATTACTAACTCATGCATAGCATCCAAAAAGCTCTGACCAAAGTTATCTTCTCCGCTAGTATGAGCGGAGTTTCTTAATTGCGCCACAAAATATTTCATACGACAGGACACCAGAAATGTCTTATGGAGGGAAATAACATTTGGAAAAGAGAGAATAGGTAAGGGGCACTTAGTCATGCGCGACGTATGGCAACGTGGACCGATGCACATATGTGATTGGTCCTACGTTGCAGCTGACTTACTGGCGTAGAAGCTGGCATATGTGTGTGTTTTCGACTCAGTCTACCACACCCGCGAAATAAAATTACTAAAAGTGATCCCAGAGTAATAAAAGCAGTAAAAATATCGTTAGTTGTAAAAAAAGACCTAGAGAATATGATTCCAGAAGAAAGATTGAACTCACGGAATAAAATAACTTTGGAACTCTAAATCTAGAGGAAGAAAGAGTGGATATACGCCTTTTTGACTGGTCCTAAGTCATGTTATCCGCCGTCCCCAGCCGTTACGATAATTCGCCGATAGTTTGGCCGCTATTAGTTTTCTCCCGACTTGCTCCTCAGCCGGCAAATATTGCGTGTCGATAGAGGCAGTTATTGTGGGTACGTAACACTTGTCCTAACCACCTCAGTCGATAAGCATTCACTACCTCGTTTACATCTTCATCGAGTAATCTGTATTTAACCTCAGAATCGCTCACTCTATTGTCCCAATACAATGCTTCAAAAACATCTATGATTAAATACTATTAATCTACAAATGGTATACATATTTTTAAAGGACACATTTCACAGCCATAAAGTAGGACAGAGAACTGCTTCCTTGTAAATACGTCCTTTGATCGGCAAAAGGACATTGTAGTGTCAGTTATTATGGCAAGCCCATATACCTTATTCTAATTTCCGGACATCCTATTTTATTCATTTCACTTGAGCCATATTTTGACCTTGTCAATTATTCGCTTATTAGCCTTGACTGTTTTCACATGAGCGTATATGTGTGTACATTTCATGTCCCATGATTCATCATATGTCTGTAGCTTATTTTGTCTGCCTATAAATACTGAGTAACGCTTAATTAAAATGGAGTTGGCTTCCCAGCCATCTTCCAGTACGTGTCAAAATTGCTTTGTTATGGCTCTCGCTCGCTTAGCATGCGAACGGGCATCCACAACATCACGCCTACACCGCGGATGACGCAAGTTGACGAGCGCCAACTGGGCCTTCTGAATCCGCCTCGAGATTTCGTCAGTTACCAACTCACTAGCACTGATGAGACTTCCAGGATGCGTGAAGTGATCGACATGCTCAATCATTTCATTCTCCACCATTAAGCCAGGCATTGATACAACTCAGTCCAGAAACAAAACTGTGTACTTAGATGGAAGAAAATGCATCCCAAACATGACAACATTGTTGCGCATAGTAATCAAAATCCTCTGTATTCTGTCAGCATCCTCGCCAAAGAGAACAGTATCAGCGTATTCTAAACTGACAGGTGAATATCCTGGTAATAAATCGGTTTCTAAAATGTCACGATGTAAGAGTTATTTCTAAAAGAATGTCTATGACAGTTAAATAAAAATGGGGAAAGCGAACAACCCCGATTGACAACACTTTGAGTTGCCAACTCCAATGACACCTCCATAAGTTCCGACTTGACTAGTAGTATTCGGGTAAAGAGCTTGTACAAGGTCAATGTACCTTTTTGGTGCACCTTCCAATAAAAAACACTAACATAAGACCTCTTGATCTACAGAACCGAACGCTGGCTTAAGTTCAGGAATCACAAACATAGTTGGGAGTCGGTGGGTAAGTCCATGTTCCAAAATCTGACAAAGGGCAAATATTTTGTCTACACATCCATCCCCGGGTCTGAAACCAGCCTGGCTTCTATGAGGATTATTAAGGTCGATGATTTTAGACACTATATAAGTCAAACTGATTCCTCTGTGGTCATCACAAGAGAATTTCTATCCTTCATTGTAGACTGGAATGATCAACAATCGGGACCAGTCAAATGAGACTAGGTTCATTTCCCATACTCTAGCTAATATCTCACTTAACTTGAAAGCCAAGAGCGAACAATCATCTTAGAAAATTTCTGGCTTTAATCCGTCAGTACCTCCTACTATCCTTTGCCTAAAATTAGCAATGGCTTTTTCTACTTCATTAAGAGGGTGAGAGGTTTACGTCAACACCACATTCAGATTTCTTGGTAAAAGTAAGCAACTAAAGAGTGGCTAGATAGCAGTCAAATAGTTCTTCCCATCATTTTAGTATCCCGCGTTGAGAGTGGATCATTTGTGCATATTTTTCTGAAATACTCGCTAACTACCAAACCTTACCTTGACTAGTCTGAAGAGTTCCAAACAAATCTATTTGAATACAAATGGTTAAATTTAGCATCTAGCAAACTCAATAATTAAGTATATAATGTGTATTTATCGCTGAGAAAAACCAAACACAGTAATTTCCACCTTACATTTGAGTTGTTAGATTCACGTTAACATGAACAAAATTAGATCACATAGCTTATTATTTCAAGAACAAACAGTAATATCTCACTGAAAACCCTATTTTTTGTGAATAACAACTTTATATGTGGTCAAAACAACGAAGAGAGCAAATTGATACCGATGTTAATAAAATTACGAAGCTTTTGAAGACGGTTCTCATTACGTGATCCGCATCGGCTAGGTAGACGTCTTTTTTGAACACCCGATTCGTCGATCCAAGTGTATAACTAAAGAAGACAACGGTTGTCAAACACGCTCTGCCAGGATTGTTTAGTGGCTGGTAGCATTAATCCATTATTACATCGGGGGTACCATCGATGAAACAAAAGTCGGAGATTTTGAAAAGACATCATTCCCCGTTCTCAGTTAGTCAGTATAATTAAGCAGCTCAGTCTGAAAGCACACTAATATAAATTCAATTAATCAGCACTCAGTCAGCTATAACGTAGGACCAGGCAAATATGTGCATCGGTCCAAGTTGCCATACCTCCTTAGTACAACAAGATGAACACCGGATTCATAGAAGTAGTTAGCTCAGTGGTGGTAATATATAGAAGAAAGATTGCGTATAAAGACATAGTACAGGAAGAAAGATATGAAGCGATTTTAAACTCACAGTTTAAAGGAAGACAGTGCACCGACGCCATTATGAGCGATTCTGAGCCATATGACCCAGAGTCTCCAATCATAAGCACTACCTCTATTATAAGGCGTGATACGCTACCCAAAATAAGCAGCGATATGATAGTCCCATATAAGCCCAAGATGTTAATCATGGTTAACCTAAAACCTAGCACAACTGTTTATTAATTGAGGTTTATAGCCTGATCAATCAACTTACTGTCATACACCTAACCTCATTATCTAATCGTTGTTTCTACTGCATATGAGCAATGCTTTAAAGACGCTTATCCGTACCTTCTGTATTTAAAGGTCGTTAAAAAAGCATACTAATGTGAATCTTTTCGGCTCGACCTGGGGGTAAGGTAGATAGCAAGTGACGTAGCAAGTCATAAGACATCAGCCCAGTTCTTTACTATTCAAAATATATAATGAAATAAAATAGTTATGAGTAGTCAGAGTTTTCATCACTTGAATGAGTAGTTCAACGTCTGTATTATTCATTGGTTGTTAGTGTAATTGAAATCTCTCTTGATAGATATTGATTTCCTTTGTCGTAAGTTATATTTTTGGGGGTGTATATCCACATAATTTTTCTTTTAAAAAGCATCTTGCTCAGCTAACGAAATTCATAAAGTCCTTGATGGTGCTAGTAGGCTCTTCCAGGAGTTTCTTTTTCTCCGTTGCTTTTTCTCTAAAATGAGAAAAACTTCAGCTAATGACCCAAACGTAAATTTGAATTTGTTTTAAGAATAAAATAGAAGTAACCGGCTGCTCTCAAAAGATTACTGTGATAAAAATACCATTCACAAATCTCTTTAGTAAGCAAAGCAAACTTACCGAGGCAAATATAGCATTACTAAAGTACACCTTCAAATGGTCGTCAGCTTGTTCATTATAATGCGTCTAAAATGTTCATGACGTTCCAAATATATCCGTACCAACAAATTGCACTTTTTCGCCGTTAAATTACAGTATTTCCAATCCACAGAATGTTCCCATAAATTGCTCAACGAATCTAGTCTGGTTGTAAAAGATGGGCTCCACAAAATCACACTAGTATATATTTCGGATGCCCTCGTTAATATACCGAAACTAGTCGTTAAAAATGTGTTCCTTTTGGAATATTACTCCGTGAAAATTTAGTTAAGGAAAATCCTTGGGTTATACACTTCCACAAGTGAAATAACGTAATGATCGTCAACTTTGACATATGGCATGTTAATTCACTTTATTTCTAGGATTTTACATTGATTTATTCATGCACTAGATGAATTTTAAATTTCACTAGCCACTATTTACATAACCAGTATAGTTCCAACAGTAATTACTCGTAGTATATACTTTTAGCAGTTACTAATTGGAATCTATTGTCATCAAGTTTGCGACTAAGTTTTAATCTGTAACGTTTTTTGACATATCACAAAATCAAAGGATCACTGTTGGCCCTTATAAATGTGAGTTGTTTTCTATTTTAATTAATGCAGCTGTTTTTTTCTGTAGTATTTTAGCGTATGATTTCTAAAGACTAAAAGTGTCTTGTTACGTGGCTATCAATTTGATGCTATTTCTACTGTAACTTTCATTGTTATTTTTCGTGTCATATCTCGAGTGCCGTAGAAATCGTTTAGTACCAAATCAAATATTCCTTAATTATCATCAAGCTTATGATACACTTGATGTTATATTATCCCAATCATCGAAGTTTGGTTTCGATTGGTATATTTTTGAAGTGGGTCAGCCAATCACCTTAAGTATTGGATTTGTTTTGTGAATACAGGTTAATTCGGTATTCGTGTTTGTCCTGTATATCGTTCTTAATTCTGATCGTTTGAGATGTAAGACAACCTTAAGGATTGACGTTAAACGAATTTGGTTGGAGTTTATTTTCATCGTTGGAGTTTTATTGTCGGATGAATTGATTGGTTAAATTATCTGGTTAGATCAGTGGATGCCAAGAAACCGTTTTCCAATCGACAACAGATAACAAAGCATGTAAAGCATCAAAATATCCTGTTTAAATTATCATTTGCATAATTTCGAAAATATTCTAATCCTAGGTATAATATCTACCGCAGATACGCTGTTGTAGAGCGTATAGTACAGGCCCAACGGCGACCACAACAAAATCCGCAAGTTACACAAAGCAATTTAAACACTCCAGTAAGTATGCTGAGAATTTCATGTTGCACTATTACTATTGTTACTTTTAATATTGTTGATTCGGTAAACTGTCTACATCTTTATATTTTCGGGAGAATAAATTAAATCAGAAACATCTATATTCAAGATTACAAAAAAAGCAGCCAGCGCTGTGAGGGACAAACAAGTGGCAACGATTCGTTCACTATAACCGAACACATCAACTGGAATAATTGGTAGCTTCTATTCAGTGGATAATACGTATTTAGGTGAAACGTGCAATAATCAAACAAGCTATTGCAGAGAAGTATAATCAGATAACTTTAAGAAATGATGCTACTACTTGGATGTATGTCAAAGTCATTAGAAGTGAATCAGCTGTACAACAAAAGTTCACTGTTAAATTTAACAAAATGAATTGGACTTGACTTAACATACTTTCAATCAGAATGCCATAATTCTCATAGGGATTGTTCCAAATGTATAGTGAAGCACCACAGTACTTCACCCAAAAGCTAACGCCCAGATTACACAGATAAGATCGCAAAATATGACAAAGAACAAGAATATGGTGACCATCTTTGGTTCCGAGTAATATTGTGAGCCCTGAAAGCTCATTACGTTGGTTAATTTGACATATGTGTATCATCTTATAAGGCCATCGTTATCCATATAGTGTGATTAATGATGTATGTGTGTTAGGCACTCGAGCTACACCCTATTTTACCGTACTGCATTGGATAACCCAATACATCAGTCCATTATAGCTTTGCCAGTAATTCACTGAATAACAGATGAGCTGATGTTGAAATATCTCACAATTTTTGTGCGTGACGCCTCAAAATATCATCCCGCTAACTTTCCAGCTATCTTGTAAGCGACTACAGATGTCCTACAAATCTACTTACACACATAAGAAAAGTTCGGGAAAAAACCTATCAGCCCTCAGTTAAATAAGTCCTGTAACGATATTTCCCTAACATTATATTCGGGTAATTGGTGCTGAGGTCTAAAAAACGACCGCTTCCTAGATCTAATGTAGTCAGGCTTCGTTATTTTCATGGCAAATCCCGCTTGATTTTTGTAACGTCTTCACTAATTGGTCAGGAAGTGGCTACGAAAACCAAGTATCATTTGTAACAGCTCTCCAGAGAACTTCTACGATACCAAACCCAAGGATTTGTTCTGTTGACCGAACAAAAATATTCACATTAGTTTCAACGAATTCTTAGTCGATTTGATTTTAAAAACCACATGGTAGTGTTTTTCCCAAATTCCACTATCTGATATAGATTTTTGATTAGGTATTAGTGTATGTACGCGTCATAACTTCAATTCTTCAACACGATATTGTAAAACATATGTGATTTTTTATCAACAGGCAAGTGAACAATCGGAGAATCAGCAAAGCCAGCTTGCTCAGGAGTCTACGGATCAAGCAAACGGTAGCCTACGTGGTGAACAAGAATCGAGATTTACGAGGATAACTACAAATCTACGTTTGGCAGCAAATCTTTCTTATCAGTTCTTTTCAGCTCTGATTTCCTCAATTATTCCAGAACAACCACCACCACTACATCTAGACTAGAGTTCATTATCTTCTAACTTGATTACTGAACACGATATTTTATTTAGTATGTTATACAAGATATAATACTGACCCTATAACCTCACTCCTTATCTACTTTTTATTTTTAATTTAATCCGAAATTTGTCTTTTGTTTCACAAAGTGCCTTCATTTTTATGTTTGTACACACAACATTGGAAAGCGAAAACGTAGCAACTTGTTGAAGGTTCCATTCACAACAAAAATCTATTTAAAGTATTTTTTGAGTACAATGTTTTGCTAATATTAGTTAACCAGTAACCTATTTAGGTTTTTTGGACCATTGGCTAATAATTAGTTACCAAAAATATCTGATATGTCCAGTGATTTGAGGATGCATTTTTACTGGTAGCTAAATCAAGAGTACCTCTCCTAGAGGTAACTCCAGCTCCCCAAAACTGCACCCTCCGTAGGCAACATGATTCAGTTTTGTGAAAGCCACACCTTCAGTGCTAAAGTACGTATTCTAAATGCTTTTCTGCTGTTTAATAAATGCCATATTTAGATTGACTTGCGTCAGGTACTAACGTATGACAGGAAGATACGTGTGGGTTGTGAGAAAGTAATGTCGTGTTTATTGTGTAAACGCTGAAGAAATATCAATAGAATTAGTAGTATGAGTACATCTATTTTCTACTAAAAACTACCCAACATATTTTAAACTGTTATGTTTTATAAGTAATATATACAAAATGAGAAATTATGGTAGGATAATTATTCTTTACACGCATGATGAAAATTGTCAGAAAAATGTGCGTATTCAACATTTCCGTCTGATTAATTTAATATTCATGAACGCTTCCGTAATGTTTTCCTGTAAGTATAACAGAGAATTTAGGTAAGATATCATTTCTACAGCACGGTGATATAAAATATAAGTATTTTCATTTATTTAGTTGAACACATGAATATTGTCACAATGAAAACCAAATATTGTAGACAGAAAAACGAAGTTGTCTATAACAACAAAAACAAATCCAAATTACTGTATGAATGTGTGAAAAGTAATAAGACAAACATGATAGTTACGGAAATAAAACCAGTCAGGGTTCTTCCCACTAAAAAAACATGTAAAGAGAGCTTTATAAAAATTTGCCAGGAACTCGGAGTGGACCGACGTGCTCATCTATGCTTTTCCATGGGATGGTAGCTAGCATTGATATTTAGTTGCAACAGAAGCTGCATCCAATTTGCTAACGTCGATCCATTTGGAACGACGAATTTGTTAGCGCATGAAACACAAGATAAGATTAGTGTAAACAAGGGCACGATCAGAATCCAGATAGGCACTCCAAAATGAGCGGCATCCTTGTACACAACCACGCCAGCGATAGTCGATTGCGATGTGATCAACCTGAGTCCAGGCTTGAGATGCAGAAGAACTCCAAGTAGCACGTCGGCGATGACTGCGCCAGCAGTGAGTGTTAGCCAGAAACAGGTTGTAGTCTACTCAAAGTTGCAGTAGTTAGTCATCGTTCCTTCACCTGCGACCAACAAACCCCCATCGACTACCTAAACGACTCGCTTCTGTGTCTAGACGCCCGACCTAAGCATTCAAGTCTCTGGCTAGTACTACAATATCTGTCAAACTCACTTCCTGTAAACGAACAGTTAACTGGTGATAAAACGCATCCTTGATAGAACCCGGGCTACAATCTGTCGGAGCATAAGTGGAGATGGCGAAAAGACATTGTTTCTCACACCGACGTCTTCATAATTTGATGGGACTTTCTAATCTAACAGCACATAACGGATTGATAACGAGGATTCAATCCATTAGTGTTACCTTAGCTCTAGTGGTTAGTGAGACAGCAAAGCCAGATAAGGATGCCGAATAATGATGATGCAGTCGAGCTATATTGCTTGGAACTCAGTTTCCTTTAGGTCTTATAATGTTATAAGTTAAGACTAAAAACAAACTGAATGTTGAAGGGGGCAGTCGAATGAAGAGAACTGTGCTACGTCAATGCAAAGAAGATGCAGTCTTATTGTCTTAGGAAGGCTTCTACTTACCTTGCAGATGACTTTGACTGCAGAGTCTGTCTTGATTGAGTGACCTGTGTTCACAAGGTGTTCGATTATAGAACTTCTTATTGAGCCGTTGCCTCCTCTTTTTAGCCACACCGGACAATGTTCTTGTCTTTATTATTTTTAAGTAGTTTTATCTGATTTCTATGTAAGTAGACATTTGCCTGTTACCTTTGTGCTAATATATTGGTTGCAGCTGTCAAGAAGAGTTGATTTGAAACGGGATTCTTGATCAGAGATTGGATTAAGACAATTTGTTTGTTTGAAAATGTGTGTTGATTTCGTTAACTCTTTCATTTATGTCGCAGAATTTTATCCCCAAAGATAAGGCTTCTAATTGTACATTTGTCAGGGATATTGAAGAATGATTAAACACATATCTCTCAGGATTGTTAGGAAAGATGTGCTGTGTTTCTGTGGTTTTTAAACTTTCAGTGAGGTCTGATTCACTTCCTTGATGTAGATATGACAAGAAAACAAGATGGTACTTTAAAAAGATCTATCTACAGGAAACCCATGTGGAATGGCCAACTATCACATTTCCACAGTTAGGTTCCCATCAGCCGAAAAAGAAACTTAATAATAACATTCGGCACAAGAATACGAAGAGTCAGTAGCCCCGAGGTCGTAGAGGGAGGATTGAGCCCTTTAAAAGAGATACTTTTCAAAAACGGATATCCTTCTATATTCATTGATAAGAACATGAAGCCAAAAATGCCAAAACCATAAACAATTACAGTAGAAAAGAAAATTTTGTACATGAACATCGATTTCAAAGGTGATAATGCCTCACATATCTTAAAGAGGAGAATTTCGGATTCTTTAAAAAGAACATTCTTCGCAGCAACATTGCGGATATTATTCTCCAGCCGATCACTGTTCACCAATAATCTAAAAGATAAATTACCGCATCCGACCAACTCAATGTGCATTTACCAATTTACCTGCTCTTGTGGAGCTAGGTATATATGTCGTTCGATGCGTATTTTATCCAAAAGAATTCAAGAACATTGTCCGGTGTGGCTAAAAAGAGGAGGCAACGGCTCAATAAGAAGTTCTATAATCGAACACCTTGTGAACACAGGTCACTCAATCAAGACAGACTCTGCATTCAAAGTCATCTGCAAGGTAAGTAGAAGCCTTCCCAAGACAATTAGACTGCATCTTCTTTGCATTGCCGAGGCAATAGCCATACATTTTGAAAAACCAGAATTATGTGTACAAAAAAGACTGGTACAACCTCTTCTACCATGGTCTTAATGTATTAAAAAAATTTTCTCTTTCTTCATACTCTTGTTCCCTTACAGCCACCTGCTTCACCTTCCATCTTCCCTTCAAATCTTCTACCCCAGCCGGTTTGTTTTTACTTCCGCGATCATTCCGATCACATTTCATCTCTGTTTCAACATTTTATTTTATCATGCTGAGCCATCCTTACCAAATGAATACTTCAGCCATTAACTATCAAACGATTATTAAACTTTCCTTGTTTAAAATTTTTTAAATTTGTTTATTTAACCTCACTGTCACCATGTATAACAGAAGTTTATTATCAGTATTATTATCACCCTGTAAAAATAAGTATATATATTTGCGATTGTACAGCTTTGAAAATGAATTCGCCGAAAAGAGAACTCTTCGCTGAACTAATCTTTGTTTCTTATTTAATGTCGTAATGGGTGTATTCCGTTTATAAAAAAGAAGAGATTAAGAACATAATTCAGGAACAACTAGAACAGGAGCCAGTCAACCACGAAAGTGATATCCATCTCGAGGTAGTTTGGGATATCTAAAAAGCTGTGGAAACATCAGGTGCATCCACTCTTCGTTTTTCTGCCAAATGGTTTTGTTTTCATTTCACCAATTAAGATTTCTTCTCGAATCGTATCTTCGATTGCTGATCTTTTCTATCACCATTCATGCTGTTACTTACTACCTCTACCATTCTGGGATTTGGTCTGACAATCTCATATCTGTGCTAATGGGATATGGTAACTTGAACATATGTATATACGTACCAGAGTCAACGTTGTAACTGACTAATCGACGAGAGGGACAGTGTTTTCTAGTGAACGTAAATGAAACACGACTGAAGGTGGTGACAGCTTCTGGATCCCCTTTTTATTCTACAATTGTGTTTGACGAACGGTCTCAATCTTTTAGTGGAGTTGTATCTTCTAAGCTAGATGTTTTGATTGCATGGCTTTCATCATCGTCCTGGGCATCAACAGAGCCTACTCCTCTAACGCTTTATGAGCTGTAGCGGAACCTACATGACTATTTAGCTTCGGATAACAAAACACATCCTCGATAATACTGAGAACTACAGCACTCATAAAAAAACAGGTCGGGCTAGGAAAAAAAGAAGGGAATTTCTAGGGTGTTGGAGATTTATAGACTTAGTGTCCATCCCGATTGTGCTCAGTTTTAACGCAAGTCATTTAGCTAATAACTGAGAACACATCACTAGCTGGCAAAACATGGTTTGTGGATAAACAGTAGGGTGTATTAAAATAGTGGCTTTAAGGTTATTTCCCCCAGACAACCTAATGATTTGACTCCCGAAGACTCTAGCTACCCAAATTCGAGTATCAATACAATAAGTAATACAACGCAAAATAATCCTCAACCGAACTTGTACCGTGCTATCAACTATCGAGAAGACAAAAGAATGTCGAAAGTTTATTACTTCTCTAACCGTCGTTAATACAGAAAAAGAGTCCAGGTATTTTGTTTCCTTGAGATTTGGGCAAATAGGTAGCAGGTCACGTAAGTCCTGATTCAATATTGTGCGCGTGGTTTAAATGCTCAAGATAGGGATAATTAAACAGTCTATTTCTGGATGATTTCATTAAAATGTTTGGGAAATATAGGATTTTCCAAGAGAGTTAATTTCTATTGCAGGTTGAACGATTTACTTAAGGGATCAAAAAGACGAAAAAACGAAGTTGAT